GGAAAACCATTAATTACAGGTAGTCCTCGACTTATGGGGCCACAATTGAGCCCAACATTTCTGTTGCTAAGTGAGACATTTGATAAGTGAGTTTTGCCCCATGTTATGACCTTTCTTGCCACAGTTGTTAATCACTGCAGTTGATAAGTTAGTAACTCAGTTATTAAGAGAATCTGGCTTCCCGCATTGACTTTGTTAGGTCACAAAAGGGGATCACATGACCTTGGGACACAGCAACGGTCCTAAGAATGAACCAGTTGCTAAGCGTCTGAATTTTGATCCTGGGGATGATTCAAAGGTTGTAACTGTGGAAAAACAGTCACACGCCACTTTTTTCAGTGGCGCTGTAACTTTGAACAGTCACTAAATGAACCGTTGTAAGTCAAGGACTACCCTGTATAAACACTTCTGATCCGTTCACTGCATACATCTGGACTACTAAAAGATCTTAAATTCCACCCCCCCCTTTGCTTTATGCACACAAAATGTTAAAGTGTTTCAAGGTAAATCACAAAAGTCCCAGTAAAAAGCAGGTGAGAGTAAAGTCAGCTCACTCCTGCCTGAGGCAGTACAGTATGGCATGTTAATATCTGAAATGTGAGCTTTATTAAAGGGCAAAGAACTCGGGGCCAAAGCATATCCCTTGATCACAGAAGGCCCTGTGGTTCTACCCCAGGCAGGGACGGTCATCTTAAGCTTGAGATTCATCCTCTAAACCAGCCGTCACCAACTGGTGGTCTGTGGGAAAATTTTGGTGGTCCGCAGAAAAATTATTTGCATTTTTAATATTGCAATAAATCAGGGGTCCTCAAACTACGGCCCCTAGGCTGAATATGTGCAATGAATGTTTGTGTTGCTGCAGAGTCTCCCCCTTTGGGGTCTTTTTGTACGGGTTGGAGAGGGGCAGAAATTCTGACTTTGGGTCTGCTTCAGCTTCCTGGTGGGGGGCTTTGGGCGAAGGCTGGAGGGAAGTGCCGCTGGTGGCAAGGAGACGGAGGGCCTTGTTCCAGTGGGACTGCATCATGGCCTGGAACTGGCTGACCATCTCAGCCCACTGAGCCTCCATCCATTGGCATCTGGACTTGCATTCCTGCAGGCCTTCCCTCTGCTTGGAAAGCCTATGCTCGTAGTTCTGAGTGAGATGCTTCTGCTGAGCCTCCTTCTCGGTCAGATTTGAACTGAGCCAGCTGTTTTGCCAACTCTTTCTCATGATGGCTGCTTAGCTCCAACAACTGCTTCCTGTTGGGGCCCTAAGGAGCCCAGGCGGGGAGGCGAGGAGTGGCTGGCAGGAGAGCGGTGAGTAGAGGCCAGCGAGGTGCCCCTCCATGTGAATGACATCAAGTTGGCCATCAAGTTGGCTACGCCCACCCAATCGGTCTTTAGGCAGATCATATTAGTGGTCCGTGGGATTTAAAATTATGAACTTAGTGGTCCCTGAAGTCTGAAAGGTTGGGGACCCCCTGCTCTAAACTGGTGTGAGGAAGCTTCCCGTTTCCAACTTAGCTGTATGCTTGCCTCTCTATTGTATACCCATAAAAACAGTACACCGTGGCTTCCATTTATTCTCTTTTTATTTAACTTAAATATATAAAAATATGAGGAAGTCCCCCATCCAGGCAAAGGGCACAGTCAAGGCAAGGGAATGGGAGATATTTTGCAGAGGGTGTGTGTGACCGTCCTTGGTAAAGCTCAGACTCGGCCCCTTGCTAGCTTTCCCGGTTCAGCAGCTTCCAGTTCCTTGCCTGCGGACTGCAGACACTCTTATAGATAGAATGACAGCGGAAAATGACTGACAGTCCCAAAAGATGGAATGGGAAGAGAATCCACAAGAGAGTCAATGACAGTTCACTCTCACTTCCTCATAATCTGATCTCATTTGTACTGTAGGCACAGAATTCCTGCTAATCCCAGGCAGAAGAGGTTGTGGCTCGTTTCCATATCCAATTCTTGACTTGTCCTAGCAAAAAGACCCATATTCTCTACAAGCCTCTTACAACTTCCCTAAGGGGGTGCCAAATCTATCACAAGGTTTTTTTTTGTTTGATCCTTAACATTCTCTGGTGCACCTCATCCAGCAGTTCCATTTAACTAAACTCGCTCACACACAAGTAGACGTGTAACATGCATCCTTGCCCCTGCGTATACCCATCAATACACGCTCACAATAGTCTCGCAAATGAGTGTTGTAGCAACCAGACAGATGCAATTGGAATAATCACTTAAGAGGATTTAGACTCGCAGCGCACCATACGATGCTCGGTATGATCTGAGGCATGAAATGGATGTTAAAGGCAATGTAATGGGAGCTTAAGAGCAAAAGCTTATGTAATGATGCTTCTTATGCCATCAGCTGCAGCAGACAGGAAGAGACCAGATGTAGAAATAAGGCAAGAATGGAACAGGCCAACCAAGAAAAGGTTTTGTTTCTGTATACGACCCACTGCACGGACAATATTGCATCGCTGCTGTTCTGATTTGTCCACCAACTGTCAGTTTAGCTCTTTCCTTAGTCTTGTGCTTCCTTCCTGGAAAGCGTTTGCAAGCAGCAATAGCAATAGCATTTAGACTTATATATCGCTTCATAGTGCTTTTACAACCCTAAGTGGTTTACAGAGTCAGCCTATTGCCTGCAACAATCTGGGTCCTCACTTTATCCACCTCGGAAGGCTGGAAGGCTGAGTCAACCTTGAGCCGGTAAGATTTGAACTGCCGAACTGAAGCTAGCAGTCAGCTGAATTAGCCTGCAGTGCTGCACTCTTAACTACTGTGCCACCTCGGCTCAAGTATTTGTAAGTCAGTGATATATGCTGTATTAGTGACTGCTGGCCTGTTTCCAAGTTTGGCTACCTGCCAACTAAGGGCTTATGGTTCTTTCAAACTGAAAACAGCATTCAGAGCCACAGTTTGTGCCATAGCTCAACGCGAGAGATGCATATGTGATATTCATGCAGTCCTAGTTCCAGTTCTTGTCTTTGTTTAAAGAGATCATAGCTATATTCTTGGTGCACCATCAGCATTCTGCATAACTGAGCATCTTTCTGGACTTAGGAGCCTTAGCAGGGCCCTTTAGAGAGCCAATATCAATTTTGTCTGCTCCCCCTGGCGAGGTTATATGATGATATGACATGTTCCAGTGTAGCCAGGTGGCTGCTTAGCTCCAATCTGCATTGGAGAATCATCATTCATAGTTTCTTAGTATCCAATATCATGGAGTGCCTAATAGTAATAGCACTTAGACCAGGGGTCTGCAACCTTAAAACACCCAAAGAGCCATTTGGACCCGTTTCCCATGAAAAAAAAAAAAAATACCGGGAGCCACAAAACCTGGGTGGGCATGGACAACTCCACATCACTCACTCCCACCCAGTCACATGACTCCCCTAGCCACGCCTACCCAGCTGGTCATTAGGGCAGAGAACCAGTTGTTAAAAAACACCGGGAACCACAAAACCCTTTTTTTTCTCTATGTCTCTTTCTCTCCCCCCCACTGTATATCTCTCCCCCCCCCCGTCTATCTTCCCCTCTCTCTCTATCTCTCAGATTTCCAAGGCCAGGCGAGGAGTGACTGGGAGGGGAGGACAAGTGGTAGGGCCAGCCAGTGATGGGACAGGGAGCCGCAGTAGAGGGCCCAGAGAGCCGCATGTGGCTCCAGAACTACAGGTTGCTGACACCCGACTTAGACTTATATACTGCTTCACAGTGCTTTACAGCCCTCTCCAAGAGGTTTACAAGTCAGCATATTGCTTCTGACAATCTGGGTGCTCATTTTACCAACCTCAGAAGGACAGGATCGAACTGCTGGCAGTCAGCAGAATTAGCCTGCTAATCTAATCCGCATTCTAACCTAGCATAACATGACTCTTTTAACTTAATTTTAAAGTTATGATTTATTCTTGTACTGTTTTATAGTACATTTTATTCAGTCTGTAACCCGCCTAGAGTTGCCCTTGGCAAAATGGGTGGCATACAACTTTGAGAAATAAAAATAACAGGACTATTTTGAATGATTTGTGATGGCTACCCCATAAAGTCTGAAATCTAAAACATACATGTGCATTCTTGGAATACATTCAGTGAATGAACTAAAGCCTGCATTTGGAATTCAGATACGGTAAAAGGAAATTGTGTCCTTTATATAAAATGACCGGGAAACCTTAGGTGGAATTAGGCAGATTCATCCATAAACTTGCCTAATCCTGTTTGTTTAATGTCAAACGCTATTGCAGTCAGTGATGGACACAACCACCTGCATGATTCTCTCAGATAAGGGTAGTTGCCTTTCATGGCAGTGTGTATGACGCACCAAATATAATAGCTGAGAGACAATCTCTCACAGAGTTTTGGCTGTTTGCAATTTTGTTTTAACTTTGATGTAGCTAGCAGTATAATTGTGCACTAAAACCAATGTAAGTTTGATGATTCACCATTGAGATAAACATTTGGGATAAACATTTGATTCCATGATTTCTAATGTATGCATTTTCTTTGCATCTTTTTTTTATTTGTAAACAACACGCACAAAGCTTTCCAAGATATCAGTCCTAAACAGGAAGTTACAGCGTCTGCGGATTCGACACCTGTTGTTAATAGGAGTTTGTAATTCCTCATTTCTGAACCTGTCTTGATAGATAGAACTTGCCTAACCACTGTTGTATCACAAATGTTTCACTTGTGGAAATAAATATATATGTTTAGGTCAGGGGGTCTGCAACCTTAAACACTCAAAGAGCCATTTGGACCCGCTTCCCACGGGAAAAAAAATACCGAGAGCCACAAAATCTGGGTGGGCATGGGCAACTCCACGTCACTCACTCCCACCCAGTCACATGATTCCCCTAGCCACGCCTACCCAGCTGGTCATTAGGGCAGAGAACCAGTTGTTAAAAAACACTGGGAACCACAAAAACATTTTCTCTCTTTCTCTCCCCCCTCTCTGTATCTCTCTATGTCTCTCTCTCCCCCCCTCTATATCTCTCTCTCCCCCTCTATATCTTCCCCTCTGTATCTTTCTCTCTTCCACTCTCCCCTCTCTCTCTGTATCTCTCGGATTTCCAAGGCCAGGTGAGGAGTGACTGGGAGGGGAGGACAAGGGGGTGGGGCCAGCCAGTAATGGGACAGGGAGCCGCAGCAGAGGGTCCAAAGAGCCACATGCGGCTCCGGAGCCACGGGTTGCTGACACCCAGGTTAGGTGAAGGCAAAGTAATTTTTTCTAGGCCAAAACTGTCTTTGCTAAAGGTGCAAGTTAAAACGCAAGTCATCCTCCAAGAAACCAGGTCAGGTTGCTAGGTTTGATCTGGACATTTGAACAGCAAATAATTTCTAGTGTTTTTAACTCCTGTAGCTGAACTACACATTTAGGAATATCATGTACTCCTGGGACTGCACTTATTTTGGAATTTGGGGAAATAATTAAATGCTTGGATATTATTCTACTTCAGCGAAACCAAATGAACCAATCCAAATTCTGCATTCAGATTAGATGTCAGGAAAAGGTTAAGTATGTCTCTTCTTTTTGATGAGCTAGATTTATAAAGGCAAGAAATGTTTGATGTAGGAGCGGAATAGGTGAGAAATCAAGCATGTGATTTCTCACCTACTCTTCCTGTTCAGAAAACATGTGATATTCCGTACTTGTTCTTTTAAAAATAGTGGTATGTTTTTTTAGTATAGCAGAAGATAATGTTGTCAAAACACAAACTTATCCTTTCTCTGTTGATTTACAAAATCTGGCCTTTAGACACCTCCAGAACTTGTTTTTGTAATCGTTGCAAGAAGAGCAACCGATAAGCAATAAGAAATATAAAGAAAATTCAACATCAAAGAACTGGAAGTAGCCAGAATATAATCTAGTCATCCAGCTGCTCGAATACCAGATAATCCAAAAAAGTCTCCCATATATTCTTTTAAAGCCTCCATACCATTCTATGCCACAAAGTAACAGAGCAGAAATATAATAAATTGCTTTTAGAATAACTCTTCCAAGAAAAATAAAGCTCCTTTCAGTCGTGTGTTGAGCAAGGGAAGAAGTAGAAGGGGAGTAACTAATGGTTTTATTTTTAAAATTTCTTTTGGTCTTTTTTGTCAGAGTTGCGGAGAGCAATCATTTTTTGGTAAGGCTTGCATTATAAACTAAACCTAAATTAAACCTAAATTAACAAAGCTTAGTCTGTAAGTTTACAGAATACAGTATGTCCAAACAAAATAAATCATATTCTGGTTTAACCCAATGACCTGCTTTATATAACACAACCACCCAATCCTGTTGAATGTTTTCTAAGAAAATAGCCTTTCCATCCCTTAAGACTAAGTGAAAACTGGTATCAGGAACATTGGTATTAATGATATAGTCAGTACCTAACCTGCATCTTGGGAATTACTAAATTGCTGAAACATTGCTCCAATTGTAAAAAATATTATTTGCGCCTATTGAAGGGATGTCCTGGACTTCTGTTAAACAAGAGGGCGGTTGCAATTTAATAAGCAAATATAATTATTTGTTGCTCTGAAAAGCCTCTTTATTGCCTCCCTAATACAGAGCATCTCTAACTATATAGCAGCCCACCAGAGCCAAAAATGCCTTTGAGTCTGAGCAAGCTCCAATCTCATATGTGGTGGAGAATCTACATTTAAAAGACAGCTGCCGCTTAAAGGTAAGCACTCCCAATCCTACCTGCACTGGACTCTGCCTGCTATAAAGAAAACCCAATTGTTCCACAGTGGAACAATTTGCCTCCAGAAGTTGTGAGATAGGACAACCATTTGACTAAAATGTTATAGAGTTTCCTGCCTGAGCAGGGGGTTGGACTAGAAGACCTCCAAGGTCCCTTCCAACTCTGTTATTTTGCTAAATTAAATCCAAAGTCAGTTCATTTAGGAGGAAAATTTGAGAGACAACCAATCCAGTGGAAGAAAAAACTTGCTACGCTCGTCCCGGTTACATCCTTTCAATCTTGGGCCTGCCAATCAACTTTTAATCTGTGATCAAGGATCTAGTGAAGTGATCTGCTGAATCAATCACTGCAAATTTGCAGACCTAATTCAACCCATACTGTATGTTTCTCCTTAACTACTCACACAAAAAGATCTTATGGGCACATGTCACTAAGGTGACAAGTAGGTGCCTAATGGGACACAAATTTCTATACATACATGCTCTAGGTTTTGCACACATATACTTATTTTTGATTAATTTCAATCACTGTCTTACACATGGTTTGGATGTCATGGTTCTACTTTCTCTCTCTTTCTCCCTCTCTCCCCCACCTCTGTCTTTCTCTTTCTCACACACACACACACACACCGACACAATCAATACTGTCCTGACTGCATCAACATACTATCTTACATATTTCCTATTTTTTCTGCTCTGCTCAGGCATATGCCATATGCTATGATCTCACTCACATCTCAAGTACCCTCTTTAATTCCACTTGAGAGATTTCCATATTTCATATGATGCTACCTCCACATTTCATCTCTTCTTATTGGAACAGAAAAGCTCATGCAGCTGGATTTCCCACCCTAGACAAGTGTCCCTCAACCCTGCTGACGTTTGCTCTTCTGTGTTATCCGATGAGACCTGAATTAGCGCCCTTGGTTAATATTCTATTTCCCCACCCTCAATTAGGCCAATGGGAATTCCGAGGAGAACTCAGCTGGATGATGTCTGACTTAGCCTGAGGAAGAGAGATATCTGTCACTGCTACCTGAACCTTCACATTCCATCTGGGAGGTATGATCCTGAGGGATGTGTAGTCAGTGTAAGAACCCTACCAAAGCAGCAGGGGTTATGTATGCACAAAAGAGATACAGCCACAGCAAGCTATTTCTTCATCTTGCAGGGAATCCCCATGAGATGCTCACAAATGGCATCAGAAAGGGGATGAATGAGTTGTGAAAACAATATTGTCCCTCTGGCCACTCTTCATCTTCCTAATGTCCTGGGAAATTCACTGGCTACTGGAAGTAGAATGTCTGATGGAACAAGATCCAGTCCCTAAACCAAACCAGCTGTTTTTGTCCTATCAAGCATGGTAGGGAGTTCGTATATTTCTTCCCCCGGTCATCCAAAGTTCTGACTCTCTGCTTGATAAAAATCACAACTTATTTCATCCCCGCATCCCCATCCCTCAAAGGCCCAGTCCACCCATCAGCCAAAGTAGGGATTCTCATTCTGGAAGTTATAGTCCGGACAGACTTTCTGAACCAGCTTGTAATCAATGCTGAAGAATGAGATGAAAATGCAGATGACCTTGAACGGTTTAGCACAGAGCCAGGCTGCGTGGCTCTGTGTATGCTCAGTGAAACAGATCTTGGATGGATCATACAGGCAGGGCTTATTCTTGCGTGCCCGGTTGGTCTTCTCATACTCCACGTGACAATTGAAGGTCTTGGATTCCTTCGGCTCAGCTAAGGTGGACTGCTGGGGATGGAGATGTTGGGTGGGGATAGGAGGCACCAACACGTCAAATTCTACAACTTTGGTGGGTGGCACAATGCTCACGGAGACGTTGCCCAGGCTGGAGGAGTTGTGTCGGAAATAGACACTGAAGGTACCATTGATGTGATCCACAATCTTGCCTGTCACAAGGAGGCTAAACTTCAAGGTCTTGATATTGAAATAAAAGTCCCCCCATCCAAAGATCTTCTTGGTACGACCGGCCTTCATTGAGGGCTTCCTTTTGGCTCGCTGATTGAAGTGCTCCATGGCTGTCTGATTCTTGGTCCAGTCCCATGGGCTCAGTGCACCACCAAAAGGGTCCAGCTTGGCTTTGGATGGCTCATTGGAAAATATCCGGCCAGGGCTGAGTGAGTGGGGTTTGAAAGAGCTACCATATGGTCCAGTCTTCAAGACACTTGAAGGACTCATCTCAAGATAGTTCAAGGTCTTGGTTACATGGCCCTCGGCGCATACAACCTATCAAAGAGTAAACAAAGGAGGTTATATTAGATCATGCGTACTATCATGCGATTCTTCAGTTATCCATATGATACACCCTGCCTGAATCATGCTGAGTGCAAGTCATACAGAAATCTATGAAGAGCTGCCTTTCATCATAGCACTTTCCAAACACATTGAATAAAATCAACCATCATTCATAACCTTGGGGCCAACAAGTATGTGGAATGAGGGTTATAGGAACTTCAGTCTAATACACCTGAAGGTCATCAAATTGGGGAAATCTGATTTAAAGTATGTGACATATTATATTAGTATCTCAATGGGAGGTTGCAATGCTCTGACTCACTCCAGGCTAGTCTTCCCAAAGTAATGTTCCTCAGGTGTGTTGTGATCCAACTTTGATTTTTCAACCAGTTCAATAAACTTGGAAGGGTGTGGATTAGGAAAAGAGAATACACTATGAGAAAATATTGATTCTGAAGGTTGGTAACAAAGATTCCAAAACTCCACAAACACGCCCTACAACCGCAAATTAAAAACTGGATCAAACTTCACAACAACAAATGTGTGTATATATATTTATCCACACTGCATGCTTTTGGACCATCAGAGAAGGGCTGCCAAAACCATGGTGATAAATAAGGTCCATGAGAAGCCATGTTTTAATGTGACCTCCATAAAATACCAATATGCTTAAGGCTGCTGAATAGTTTTCATGGCACTCATACCCACTACAATACAGCGGTTAATAACAACAGCAATAGCACTTAGACTTATATACCGCTTCGCAGTGCTTTACAGCCCTCTCTAAGCGGTTTACAGAGTCAGCCTATTGCCCCCAACAATCTGAGTCCTCATTTTACAGACCTCGGAAGGATGGAGGGCTGAGTCAACCTTGAGCCAGTGAGAATCAAACGGCTGGAAATCGGCAGAATTAGCCTGCAATACTGCATTCTAACCACTGCGCCACCATGGCTCCATAAATTCAAAATTAAATTAAGTTAAATTCAAAAGAATAACAGAATATCGTCATATGTGAGTGGCCATTAGGCTAGATGGACACCAACATGTAGGACATTGGGAACAAGCCACTAACGGTAAACAGCTTCTGTTTCTCCTAATCATTTCTCAGAAGCACCCAATTCTGCCACAATTCTGGAGTCCAAGCTAAATGAACCAGCAGGCTAGCTAAGCCCAGCAGCTTAGATTTGCTGCAATCAATTCTTATAGTACAGTGGCTTTTTGCATTTTCGGGGGCATCTTCTTCTGTTTTTCCAACTCCCCCTTGCCTTTTTCATTTGCATTCCAGCTCAGTTTGTTTCATAGGATCTGTCATCTCCTTCTCTCCCCCTGCCCCCCATTTTTTTTTGCCAACACAACAGCTGGCTGACATCCCATGATGGATGAATGGTATTTCTTTGCCCAACAGCAGAATTATTTGATTTGCAGGCATGGCGCCATCACAACAGCAGCAGTTTTTGCTGGCACGGAGAGGCGAATGATTCCTTCCAAGTGGAAAGTCTGGTGAGATGACCAGTGTGGTGGTGGGGATGGTGGGGATCTAGACTTTCAAACACAGGTGGCAACCACAGGCTCACAGGTAGGGTAGATAAAGCTGGGACTGCAATAGTGCTGTGTGTTTTTTTAATGGAACCTTCCTCCAGCTGAAAAGAAACCTGAAAATAGCAGTGAGGGAAATATAGCAAGTCCTGAATGATGGTACAGAGAGAGACTTCTTAGGACCAACTATACATCTCAAGAACTCACAATCAAAACCGAGGTCAGTGATGGTGAACTCTGCGCCGAAAAGGTTGCACGGAAATGTCACATGTGCACGAGCGTGCTCATCAGGGCTGTGCTCCAGAAAAGCCAAATTTCAGGGTTCTAGCGTGCATGCGTGCCCGGCGATCAGCTGGCTGGTGCACATGTGCAGTCCAGTTTTTGGCACTGCCACACGCGCAAAGGGATCATGCGCCGGAAAAGCCGAACTCCCGGGTTCTGGCCCACATGTGCACCCGACAATCAGCTGGTTAGCACGCATGCCTACACCGGTTTTTGGCACTGCCACGCCCGCAGACAGCTGATTGTCACATGGGCATGCATGCCAGAAATCCGGAACACAAAATGGCAAGGCTGCGCGTGCTAGGCGACATGGCTTCGTGTGCCACTTTGGGCATGCGTGCCATAGGTTCGCCATCATGGACCTAGGAGAAACAGAAAGTGATTCAAGCTTGGGACACAGATGTCTATTTCCCAGAACTTTCCTGAGACTAGAGCCAAGACTCAGCTTATGTACCAAATGCCCAGTTCAGCTCAGCCTTGGTAGAAAATCCACTCTTGATCTGGCAAAGTTATAGAAGGTGGGACAACTAACAATTGTCATTCTATGTCCTCAATCCTTAATGGCTGGGAGAAAGTAGAGGTAGTCCTCGACTTACGACCACAATTGAGCCCAACATTTCTGTTGTTGAGTCAGACATTTGGCCCCATTTTACGACCTTTCTTGCCACTGTTGTTAAGTGAACCGCTGTGGTTTGTCAGAGGGTTTGTTGTGTTTGGGGAGTTGGGTCAGAACAGGGTGGAAGGCTGAGTTAACCTTGAGCCAGTGAGAATTGAACTGCCAAATTGCAGGCAGCTGGCAGTCAGCAGAAGTAGCCTTCAATACTGCATTCTAACCCCTGTGCCACCACAAAAAATGGTCGTAAATCACTTTTTTCAGTGTCTTTGTAACTTTGAATGGTCACTAAATAATAATAATAATAATAAAATTATTATTATTATTATTATTATTATTATTATTATTATTATTATTATTATTATTATTATTATTATTATTATTTCAATTTGTATGCCGCCCCTCTCTGAAGACTCAGGGCGGCTCACAATGCATTTAAAATCATTATAAAAAACATTTAAAAATTAAAAACATTAAAAACATTAAAACTCATTCACACCATTCATGGCCAGATCTCGCCGGATCACAAGAGCGAGATCAACGGCACCAGGCCTGCCAAAAAAACCAGGTCTTCACTGCTTTTCGGAAGGCCAATAGGGTGGGGATGGTCTGGACCTCAGGAGGTAACTGGTTCCAGAGACCTGGGGCAGCCACAGAGAAGGACCTCCCCCACGGGCCTGCCAGCCGGCATTGTTTAGCTGACGGGACCCGGAGGAGACCAACTCTGTGGGATCTTACTGGTCGTTGGGAGTTATGCAGTAGAAAGCGGTCTCGAAGATACCCTGGCCCTGAGCCATGTAGGGCTTTAAAGGTAATAACCAACACCTTGAATTGTGACTGGAGACCAATAGGGAGCCAGTGCAGTTCGCGGAGAATTGGTGTAATGTGGGTGTACCTAGGTGCACCCACGACAGCTCGCACAGCTGCGTTCCGGACCACTTTTCAGGGATAGCCCCATGTAGAGTGTGTTGCAATAATCTAGCCGTGAGGTGACAAGGGCATGAGTGACCGTGAGGAGAGCCTCTCGATCCAAGTAGGGTCACAATTGGTGCACCAGGTGAACCTGTGCAAAGGTCCCCTTAGCCACAGCTGTCAGATGTTGCTCTAATCTTAGCTGTGAGTCTAGGAGGACACCCAAATTGCGAACCCGTTCTGAGGGGGACAATTTCTCCCCCCCCATAACCAAGGATGGACAATCAACATAGTCTTTAGGAGGCAATACCCACAGCCACTCGGTCTTGTCTGGGTTAAGTCTGAGCCTGTTGACTCCCATCCAGACCCTCACAGCCTCCAGGCACCGGCCCATCACATCCACCGCATCACTGAATTGACGCGGGGTAGAGGTATACAGCTGGGTATCATCAGCGTACTGCTGATACCTCACCCCGTATCGTCAGATGATCTCACCAAGCGGCTTCATGTAGATGTTAAATAGGAGGGGAGAGGACCGAGCCCTGAGGCACCCCGCAAATGAGGGGCCTAGGGGTCAACCTCTGTCCTCCTACCAACACTGACTGTGATCAACCAGAAAGATAGGAGGAGAACCACCGTAACACGGTGCCTCCCACTCCCAGCTCCCTTAGTCGTCCCAGAAGAATACCATGGTCAATGGTATCGAAAGCTGCTGAGAGGTCAAGTAGCACCAAGATGGAGGAATGACTCCCATCTCAGGCTCGCCAGAGATCATCCATCAGGGTGACCAAAGCAGTTTCCGTGCTGTAGCCAGGCCTGAAGCCAGACTGAAAAGGGTCTAGATAATCCGTTTCCTCCAATGACCGCAGAAGCTGAAGTGCCACCACTTTCTCTACAACCTTTCCCACAAAGGGTAGGTTGGAGAGTGGACGAAAGTTCAGTCATTCAATGAATGGTTGTAAGTCGAAGACTATCTATGCTTCACCCAGGGGAGGAAAAACATGCATGCTGCCCCTGCGTCTTTTCCTGATTACGATGAGGATAGAGAGAACAGGACAGAATGGTGAGGGGCAGCAAAACCTTGACAAATGCCCCCACCCTCGCTTGCTTTCCTTGATCTGATAGAACAACAAATCAGTCCGTGTTTTCTGGGCCACCAAGTCCATCCTGAGGAAGGAAGCCTCAAGGAGGAACCATCTCAGTCCTATAATCCTCAGTATGAACAAGGCTGTGTAGCTGTCCTGATTAAGCAGGTGGAGAGGAGTAACAAGAGACAGCACTGTTCACAACTACAGGGAGCACATGCTGGGACACTCATTAAAACAGAGGCAAGAGCAGTGAAAAGCAAAGACTGAATCTGCAGGGAACTTTGCCAGCTTAAGGCCCAAGCAGTGAGGAAAATGGAAGGGCCAAGGCCAGCTCTGGTGCAAAACCTGGTTAAATCAGCCCATAATGGCAATACTGGCCACTTCTGAACTAGGAGATAAAATGAGTGAATGTCTAAATCCACCATTTTGTTTACCATCAAGTGTGGTTCATCCCAAAGATCAGAACAACCTATCAGCATATAAAGTTTTTAAAAGAGTAACTTCCTCCCCCCCCGCCATCCACCCCACTACTTTTAAAAATGATTCCTTAAAAGCAAATG